GTCGGTCAGTGCCTTTCTGTTGTTTCCCTCCTCTACCAAAATAAAATTGGATGGGAAACAGAAACAATTTCAGGACGCTTTTAAAGCTTCTTCTATTTAGCAGATTTTGAAATATAACTAAACCACGAGCATCCTATTCCCTCTTACTTGTTTTCCTCTGGTGCTTGGCCAGTCAATGCAATAAAATGAGCTTAATGCCTTCTTACCTCCTCACTAATTCCAAACTGCTGTTTACATGGATTGTTTTCCTTTCCACCTTCACCAATACATCAAGTTTTATTTTTTTTATCCTGAACTTTTACACAGAGAAAGATATTTTGAGTTATATGGTGACAAGATTTCAGTCTTCCTTTTGTACCCAAATTCTTTTGGAAGTGAGGGAACAAAAAAGAAGGGAAGGAAATAGAAAGTAAAGTTGCAACACAGTAATTCTTCTGTATTTCTATGGAAAAAGAGCTGACAGCACTGAAAGTTTTGTTAAACACTGACAATAAATATCTGATAAATACTAATAAAAATGTTATATGGTGAGAAGTTTTCAGGTTAAGTTTAATTTTCAGTGTAACTGCTTTATGTGCTGCAAAAGTAACGTGTTTTAACAGACTTCCAATAGTAACTGTTCCTTTAGCCCTGTAAGATCTGAAATATATTTTAGAAACAACAAAATAAGTCCAAATATTGAAAGAAAACACGTTATTGTTCTCAAGCTGTGTCTGCACAGCTCAATTCTGCCTACAGTTTAAATAAATATAAAAAACCTTCACAGTGCAGTCACCGGATAGTCGCAGTCAGATATTCATTCCTTTCTCTGAGGTGTCCCATCAATGATGAAGTAAAGGTGAAGCTCTTCCAGTCAAGAGCTAAACTCCAAGTTAATGCTCTTTGAATAAATCTGGCAATTTGTTTTTTTTTGTGAGTTGTCATTTTGTTTTTCTCAGGTAGAGTTTCACCGTGATTCATTATGCTCGATCCAAGTGTTAAACCTAAGATCCATCATAATTATAGTGTGTCCTCAGTGCTTGTGAGAAAGAAGACAGAGCACAGAATTAAAATTCTGAGAAGTCAGAATGAGGCCTGCAATGAAGCTAGCCCTGAGGTTTCAAAAAGCTGTTGCTGTAGCTATGGAGGGGAATTTTGCTTTTAGGAAAGCAAGAAAAAACAAAACAAAACTGGAGGCCACCTTTTAAGAATGCGATTGCCAAAGTTACAAGGAATGAATCATTGGCACTGATTTTTACACTGCGTAGCTCCGTAGTATCTTTGTTATGCTAACTGAGTCTGATTGCTGGTGATGTGTCTGCAGAGGGCTGCTGTTGAGTCTGTAACATTGACACCCTGATACTGTCCTCTCCTCTTTCTCAACTCAACTATTGGGAAAGATCAAAGAAAAGGAGGAGGAGGGCTGACAAGAACCAGTGTATGAGATGCCTGCAAAGCTTTAAATAAATAAAAGGGAGTTAAGGCTTCGAATCTGTTGCAGGGTATCTGTGGATGTGGGGCCCTGTTTTGCTGTAACAAATTAAGTCTTCTCTCACAGAGCATGCTATCGTGCTTGTATCTTTGTGAATCCCGTCCTTTGAATATGAATAAGTTTGAGCAAAGCACAGTTGTATATTACTAGGCATATCTGGAAATATTAAAGCTAAAAAAACCCCTGTGGCTTCTGGTAGACTACCAACTGCTCCTTTTGTTTCCCTGCATAGCAAAATTAGATTAGTGGCTTTCAGTGTTAGTATCTAGTTTGTTTCACTTTCCAATTCACAAGAGTTGAGGAATGTGTAAGCAAGAGCCTAACCTTGTCTCCCTCCAGAAAAGAACAACTCTACATGAAAACTTAAGATAAAAGGGAAAATAGGAGCAATAGGAGCAAAGGAAAATAGGACAATGAGCAGAGGGTAAAACTTTCACAGTGAAAGGTTCCTCGGCTGAAATAAGGCTTTGTGGGCCAAGCAGGAATGTTTTTGATCCCTCACAGAAAGTAGTAATGTATTTGGATTAACATTTGGAGGGATAGTTCAGGATGGTCGCAATATGGTCTCTGTGACACTTCCAGCACAGTGGAAAGGACCCTGTTTTTCTCCTACTTGGTTTCTATGTGCCAGGAGGTGAGGATGTGGATTGTGCCTTCTGGAGCTCGGCTTGCTCCAGCCCCATAGGATCAGAGTGCTTTAGGCATCATGCTAATGCCAGAGATTTTACTTTGTTATATCAAAATCTACCTTCCATTTTTAATGGTGAGAGTTGTCTGTTCAAGCAGTTGGCAACTATTTATTAAAAATAAACCAATATTATCTTCCTTTAATGCCAAATGTTTTTACAGTGCATATATTTCCTTGAAGCCTCCTTGGACTGTTTTTGCTAGGTTTGAATCAACTATCAGAAGTCAAATTGGAATGTAAAAATCATGAAGTTGGAACTCAATGGGTATGGAAGTGAGGTATTTCAGATGTGTGGGGCTTGAATTGATGCTCATGCGTGGTTTAGATACGCATTAACTGTATTGATTAGTGACTTACGGAAGCCCAAAACCAGAAGACAAATGAATCTAAAACCTTTGTTTGTGAATGATCAGTTGATGATGGAGTGCTGTGTGTATGTGAATATGCAGCTCTTTGTGGTATGGTTTGTTTTATTAATAACATTTTGTAACGGCTGTCTTACTTTCAACTAGTAAATCAGTGAATAAGTTACGTAGGTCTCTGTGAGCGTGCCGTCAGTCAGTGCTCTGTTCCTTCTTTACAGCTAAACCAGTAAACTAAATGCTGTTCAGTTCTCCATGGAATGTGCTATAGGACAGCTAGGTGTGGGCAAGATTGAATGTCTCCATCTGCAGAGATGGAGCAGAAATGGGCCCTGGTGCGGCTGCTCTGCACTCAGCCTGCTGGGACCCCTCTGAGCAGGGCAGCTCTGACGCTCCCCTGGCCAGTAACTGTGGTGGTTATCTGTGCCTGCTGGTGGCTGACATAGGCCCGGTGCCCATGTGGAAGGAGCAGCAAGGGAAGGAGGGCTGTTGCAGGAGCAGGAGAAAGCCGCACTCCCTGCAGAGTGTGCTGAGATCTCTGTGCCTGCAGAGCAGGAATGGGCCTTTATCTCCATCCAAAAAGGGTCAGAGGGCCTTGTTACACTTCTGAAAATGACCTCAAACGGGTTTGTTTTGTTTTAATCCTCTCAAAGCGTCACCATTTTGTATTAGGGTATATCAGGACTTCCTAGAGCACAGCCGGATGTTGGTGCCTTCCCTCAGCAGCCCAATACTGCCTCCAGTTCTGCAGCACTGTGCGGTTTTGGGCTGATTTTCTTGTCACATGAAGCAAAGGAGTTGCTATCCCTCACTTGGATATTTGGCTGTCCGGGGGTAAATGATAACTTTTGGATCATTTTTGTCACTGGGTGAATAGCACAACAGTGCATCAAACCAGAAATCTTTGTGGCAGTGGGGTGTGATTCAGGTCACTGGTTGAGGGTCACCAGTTCAGGTGCATGCAGACCCATTCATTTTTGTGCAGAGTGTACAGCAATGTGTGCTTGTGAGAACTCGGCAGTTTGTGGTTAGCTTTTCCTGTGAACAGTGTGAGTACTGAACAGGGGTTTCTGCAGTTACAGTCAATGTCACCTGGACCACTACCAGACAAAATAATATAATGTAATACGATGATGGAAATGTTCTTAAAGATTGCTTCCCAGAACCGTAGTTAGGATACATCTCGGCAGTCTGGCAACTCTCCAGCTGACAGGAAGCTTGTTTCTCCTGTAACCAAATGGCTTGGATGGGGGAGATGGTTCCCTGTGGGAGCACACAGTGGGCAGGTTGGCCTTGGAGCTGGAGCAGGTGGTGCTTTGGGAAGGGAGGACCCAAGGCACACTAAGGAAGGCTTAACTTCTGACAAACCTGCCGAATCCTGCATGAATGGGAAAGTGATGCATTGCTTTTTCCCCTTCTTATCTGCTTGTAATAATTTCTGTACCTCTCTGTTCTCCATCTCTCATCCTTTTCTCTGCTGCCCACGCATTAGAAAGTTTTATTTTGACAAACAGTTGGGAAAGATTTTGTTTTTCTGAACTTGCAAAGCTCATCCCATGAGCCCAGCAATTGCTGTTTTCTCTGTTACATCTGAACATCTCTCAAACGTTTACTTCCATTCTTTCATTAAGTTGTGGGTCTGGCTAGCTCTGTAGGCGCCTATCTTGCTTTTGTGACGGGGGAATGCTTTAACTGCCCGCAGTTGAGTTTCCTCTGGTTATATGAATGCGAAGAGAGGAGAGGCAGGCGTTGTTGTTGTTTCTGGATGAACAGAGGTGCCCGAAGGGAAGGGAGTCCTCCAGAGAGACGCCGCTGCAGGGCGAGGCGAGAGCTCCTGGCTCGGACCGTGCCTGCTTCTCGCGGTGTAACTGCATCCACTCCGGCGATTTGCCTCCGCGTCCGCAGGCTCCTTCGGTCGCTCGGCCGCGCTCCACAACTCCTCGCGAGCCCCTCGGAGTAGCGGCAGGTGGCTGCGGGCTCCCGGCACTCGTCCCCGCCGCCGTCTGTCGCTGCCATGGCCGTCCCGTCCCGGGAGCGGACGGGGCGGGGCGCGACGGGCAGTGCCGCCGGGCATTATGTAAGGGCGCGGGGCCGCGGCCGCCCGACGCGAGAGCGAAATTCCTGGGGGGAAGCGGCTCTGCCGAGCGCCGGCGGCTCCCGGGGGACGGGCGGGCGGCGGTGGCGGCCCGGGGGGGGGGGGGCGCCGGGCGAGGCGGCTCGCCCGGGGGTGGCCGCTGGCAGGAGACGCCCGGCCGCGTGCCCCGTGCGGGCGCTGCCCCTTTAAGGGCCGCTCGCCGCCCGCTCCACAGGCAGGGAGCGACCTCTGGGCTTTGACAGCTCCCCTAATAACTAGCAGCGCGCTGGCTCCGCCCCCGACGCCCGATTGGGCGGCGGGCCGGCACGGCGCGTGCCGATTGGCTGGCCGCTTCCCCTGAGCGAACCTTTAGAACTCCGAGACACAATATTCTGTTACATTGTAGCAAAATGGCGACTGTCATTCACAACCCCCTGAAAGCGTAAGTAGGGCTCAGAACCGCACACGCTCCGCGTGGTTCCGGTACGAGAAGGGGCGCCCGCCCGCCGCGCCCGTCCCCGGATCCCCGCTTCCGCGCGCGGCCCCGGCTCGGCGGCTCCGGGCAGGCGGCGCGTCCTGCGGCCCCGGGCGCGCACCTGGCGGCGTCCCGCGGGGTCCGGCGGCCGGGGCGGGGCGGGCAGCGGGGAGCTCCGTGCCGCGAGGGAGCGGGGTGCGGCGCGGAGCTGCGGCGCAGCGGCCGCCGTGCGCGCGGAAGGCTCCGTCGCTCCGAGCGCCGAAGAGTTGGTGCCTCTCGCAGCTCTGGAGCGGGCACCGGGGGCGGGAGGGAGCCTCGGCTGCGGCCGCTACCGGCGTCCCCGTCCTGCGAGAGACGTGGGACCGCTCGCCGTCCGCCCGGCTCTCCTCCTGTGTTTCCCTTCGGTCGCGGCGCGCGCGGCTAATCCCGGAGCATTAGGGAGAGCGCGATCCGGCTCCGCGTAACCTCCTACGGGAGAGTTCTCCCTCCCGGGGCAGCGCTCCCGCGGACGGAGCGCAGCGCGGGCACCTGGCGGCGGCGCTTCTCCGCACTCGCGGCCGCGCGGAGCGGAGTCCGGAGCCGAAGTGAGGGCTGCGGGGTGGCTCTGCTTTCTTTTCTTCTGCTTCTTTATGTTTGTTTGTTTTTGACTCGCGTTCCTCCGGCTGGAGTTGGAAAACCACTCGGAGGTGGTTTCGGGGACTCCTGCCGCCGTCTCTCCGCTGTCTGCAGGGAGGGAGAGCCTCAGGCAGCGGAGAGGCGCTGACACGTTTGCCGGCTCTCCCGCACCGTCCTGGCAGAAAACCTTCGCTTTCATTTCGCGTGCGCTCCGCAGCGCCCACACGGCCGCGGACAGCAGCAGTGCAGGTGCCCCGCGCTCCTTCAAGGGGATCCCGGGGCCGGGGCTCGGTACCCGCCGCCGCCGCCGCTTTCCGGACTCGCGCCGCCCGTAGCAACTTGTCGCGCTGCCGCCCCGGGCGCTCTGTCCCGCTCGCAGCTCCCGCCCGGCTTCCAGAGCCGCTCTCCGCGGGCAGCGCTACCTGGGAGCCCCGGGGTGGGGGGGGGACAAGCGGCCGGCCCCCGGCCTCGCCGTGCAGAGCCGGGAGGGCAGCGGCAGGCTCGGCTCCTCTCGCGCGGCGTGGGAGAGCGCGAACAATGGGCAGCTCCTCTCCCTGCCTGCCCAAGTGCTGTGCTGAGCGGGGGAAGTGGGACCGGCGCGGGCTGCCCAGCACCACCTGCATTTTTTATTGAGAAGTTGTTTAATAAAACATTTTATAATTTTCACTCATTCTTTAAAGTTGCTGATCGGGAAACAATACACATGTAAATAAATTATGCATGGAGTAAATTAGGACGAAAGCGGTAGGATGCATAATAGGGGAAAGGACGTAGCGCACAACGTTTTATCCTCATGTGTCCTTCCTGACAATGAAAGGGAGCCGAATGACATTTGCATTTATCTGCGTTTTGATTGTATCTGAAAACCCACAAACGCCCCCTACAGAAACTGCCCGCACAAAGGTTTCGTTCCGAGCCGGGGACAATGTAGGGACCGAGACATCCCAGCTCAGGTGTCAGCAGCCCCGGCTGTGCCGCGCGTCTGCGGGTGCCTAGAGCTCAGTTTCTCTCCGGCACTTGGACATACGTGTGGCCTCGTTCACGCTGCTCTGCTCTCGGGATAACGTGTCCATGTACCTGAGCGTTCCTGGGAACACGCTGCACGGAATAGCTCGGTGCGTGCAGTCCCCCTGGCTGTGATGGGCGCTCCCACATTCAGCTCGCCTCTCTCTCTGCCTCTTTTCTCACTTGCTGGTTCTCTTCAGGGGCTTTCGTCCCTCTGCTCTTCTCCCCCTCACTGCCTCTGGCAGTCTGGTCAGCCCGACGCAGCTGCCTGCTATTTCTGCCATCCAGCACCCTGCTTACCTACACGGTGCTCTGGGGCAAAAACGGCAGAGATGTGAGTGTAACAGATCTGCGAGAAAAGGGCACCAGGTGTCTGGATAAACACGGAGTTCTTTGCCTGCAGAAAAGGCAGCACTCAGAGTGCTGATGGGCAGCAGTGGGTTGGAAATGCTGGATTCATTGTTGTGTACTTATCTCTATTTTTTTTCATCTTCTTCTTTGGATATCTTAATGTGGAGACGCTTGAGCAGGGCAGCAGAAGAAACAAATGCAATGAAGTGGTATTCTGAATGACTTGAAGTGTCAGTCAGAAATCTCAGTGGGCTCTGTAAACATTAATTAATTAAACCTCTCATCACCTCTGTGAAGAAGGGATTATTGCCTTTGTTTTGTGGGTGACTAAACTAGGACAAAGTTGTTAAGAAACTTTCTGAATTGAAGACCAAGTGTAGAGCACAGCAGTGCAGCTTACAGCCTTAGCAGCTAGCCACGTTTCCTCCACCCCTGCCTTACTAGCGATATGCATACGGTACCATAATGTATTTAATGTAATTAAGATCTTGTAATTTACAGAGCCCGATCTAGAAGTGGAGCTGATTTCCCCCACCCTTCCTCTTTCTGCACTCCCACAGCTGACTTTTATTTCATACAATCAGTTAAATGCACTCGCTGAGCTGCTGCTGCCTTTTTGGCACGAGGTTGCCCTGCTGCAGCTCTGCCCTGATGCACGCAGGAGGAGCTGCTGCTGGCTGTGTCCCAGTGTCACGGTGCAGTGCCCTCCCTCCTTTGGCTCCACCAGGCCGTGGGACAGTGACTAACCCGTCCTCGGCTGGCCGTGCTGTTGGACAGCCCTGATGTGCTTGGGGAGGTTTATTCCCAGCCAGGTGGTTGGGAACCGGCTCAATGCTGAGCGCAGTGCTGGAGCTAACCTTACAAACCCTACTGGTCTTCTGTGTAGCTGCTCTGCCACGAGCACGTGGCAGCGGTCAGTTTTCCAATGGCTGTGCCCGTTGGATAGAATAGCCCTGACAGGCGGCTCCAGCTCTGGAGGACCACTGGCCTTCACTGTTATGATGGGTTCTGCGGCATGCGGCACCAGTGCAAAAAGGAGGCACACCTCCTTGCTTAATGTCAGCAGCAGACCAGCAAAGGTCTTTGGGCCCTGTATGGCAGGAGTATTTTGTAAGTGTTAGCTTGGGCTTGACTTCAAGCGGGGGTCTCAGAACTGGAAGTTTCCATATCCTCTTACCCACCGCCAGAACAACCCTACAGTGTGACTAAGTGCTGATGGAGACAACTTATTTATTTGTTTGTTTGTTTATTTATGTATTTATTTATTGTCTGGATGTTGTTGCATAAGCAGCTGGTTGCTAATTCTTAATAACAAAGTATGATGTGCAGTGCTTCTTCCAGCAGGTGGAAGCAACAAGATAGATGGACAGTTAGGTTGCCAGTTCAGCATTTGCAAGTGATGTGAAGGTGATTTTAATGTGGCTTTGCAGAAGGGAGTGCTCTTCTGCTTGACAGAACACGGTTGTTGGATGCATTAAATCATGTACCAAAATCTCTACAATGTGGCTCTGAAGTCTCTTAAAAACATAAATGAGCCCCAGCATGACACATTTCAAGCCAATACTGCTGCCCACATGAACACTCTCTATTCTGTATCCCAGCACCACCCTTCAGTGAAAATGATGGATGAATGTTTTTGTATTTATGCAGGGAAACATGAGCATAAGAACAAAGTTGTAGGGGGCGAGAAGGGGAGGAGAGAGCCAAATCCTGAAGATCTGAAGATGTGCTGCTCTGAATGAGGAGAGCCAGATAAATGTGTTACAAGTTACAGTGTTTGTCTGGCCGCATGAGTAACTTGTGTGTGAATAGCTGTTGTAATGCTTTTGTAAATTTGTTCCGCTGGTGAGAATGGACAGAGCTTGTGACATAAAACTCTCACTGAAAAAAAAAAAACAGATTTAAAAAATATGTGGTGTGTGAAAGCAATACTGAGCTATCCGGGATGAGCTACAAAGTTCCAAAGATGGGTGTTTCTTGATGGTAATACTGAACTATATATCCTGAGGTCTGGGTTCACAGCGTCCAGTAGGTTGAGTCCTCAGTGGGTGAATGGGAGCAGTGTGCCAGGCGGTGCAGGGGGGCAGCCCTGGAAGTGAAATGGGGTTCTGTCCTCAAGTGCTGGCGGACTCCAGGGAAGGTAATGGGGCGCACCCGATGTGTAGCCTTGTGGAAATACACTTCTGCCTCTGCTTTCCTCCAACTGGAAGAATGGCTTCCTGGAGGTGCTTTGTCTATCTCATTGGCTGTGCCCCTGCTGTCTAGAAAAGAGACATTCCAGGTTCTTAGAATTACCATGTGCTGAGACTGGTGTTTTCTCACCCTGCTTTTTCTTTCAGATTGAAGCTGAGTTTCTTTGCTTGGTAGCTCAATTTTACAATGTATGAATTCATTCTGGGCTCATCCTTGTGCTGTCTATGAGTGATGATGCCTTGAGTAAGAACAATTCCTATACTGTGCATCCCTGAGGACTTGTCAGAGTAGGATGAATGCGCTCTGGGGGCTGGCGCTCTTTCCCTTGGCCGAACAGAGCCCTGACCTGGGGATCCCCAGGCTCAAGTGGCACATTGCCCCAGGCAGAGGCAGTGCCGTTTCCAGCCCAGACTGGGGCTGCATTGGGGTGCATGATGCTGCTGGCTTTTGCCTTGGGCACAGACTGAGGTTTACAGATTACTTCTTTCATGCAGGTCCCAGTTTTATCTTTGGTTTGTTTCTTTCAAGGTGATCAGTTTTAAAGTGCTGTATCTAGGAGACAGCATACCTATAAAAATGCCCATTTTAACTTTTTTTGAGGGGAAGTGCTTCTTTCTTCTCTTTAAAAACTTCTGTGCAGCTTGTGGAAGAAGCCCTAATATGCTGGACCAGTATGTGAAATGCAGAAAGTGATTTTTCTTTCAAAAGAAATAAGGAAACTCTCTGCTGCATTTTTACTGTCTAAACCAAGTTACATGCAACAAATAGCCTAAGTAACTGCTTCAATCCTGAATGTTTAAAAT